AACAAGTATTTCATATTTTTTAGCAGTAAGATAAAACATTTTTACATATAAGTTCAAAAGCTTGTGCCTAGCTTTAAAAGTGGTACAAGGTGGTATGTCTGCTTATGTCCTCTATTAAAACTTTTGCAATTTTTCCGGTACCCAATAAAAAAATTATGTAGGCATGCTGTTTCAACTGAGGTTCATTCTGGAAGGTGAGCAAAAGTTCTTAAAAAGCTGACATCCTGGTATGTCAGAGACGTCTTGAGATTATGCGCCAAGAAAATAATAAATAACCATTCCCTTGAATTCTTTTTCTTTATCAATAATTTGGAAAATAAGTCATTTCTATGTACAGGATATTCATCAGTGAACGACCTTCTACGTGTCCTTTAAATTATATTTAAGGGAAATTCTGAGCTCAGATGAAATACTTGTTCTGATCTGTGATACTACACATCGGGCAGTGAGCTGTAGGCCGGGCTGCACATAGAGCTCCTAAGTACAGATGAACTACTATGTATGCCGGTAGGGTAATCCGCGTCGGCCCATAATAGCACTGAGAAAGTAGCCTATACAATATAAATAAGTGATGTGTAACAGTTGAAAAGCGTATTTTAGCAGACTCACATAAGTAGTTAAACTATAACAATTCGTTTCTCTTTCCATTGCACTAGGATTTTATTTAAACCTATGGTTCTAAGCATATATGTGCTTATTTTCCTTATAATGCTTTTGAAATAGAATAACGTACTAAAACGTACAACATGAGTGCTATTCGAAAGTAGTATGTGCTCATTAGACATAAGCTGGATGTATTGCTCTGAGTGGAAATTGCATAGAAGACTGTTTATTCACATATTACATTTTCGCGAAAGAATGTGCTTTGGGGTAATCCTTCTTTTGAGGAATATTTCCTTTACACAGTTAAGTGTACCCAGCTGGTGTATTTGAACAGTGACTGACTTCATTCCGCAGGTTCACCAGACAAAGCTTAAGAACACACAACCCTTTAGTTACTTAACCCTTAAAACGATCGAGCATGCGAACTTTCAGAGTTTTTTTATAAGGAAATAGTTTGTACGCTACGTCATGTAAACGGCGGCATCTTGATCTTACCTTTAGGGAACAGTCGTCGGCTCTTGTCCTAATGACCCCTATTTTAGTTCATGGGACATCCGTATTCCCAAGTCCTGTTATGTTGGTCGTAGCTATGCTCTTTTTACAAAAGCAAGAAGGCTTTCTTAACTTGAACATTGTTTGTGTATAATCAGTACAAGCATCTCTTTTCGGACAAATGTATCGTGATAACACGTATGTTACTGTTTTCCCTATCCACAATGTACAATAAACTGCATATACGTAATAAAACGTAATCTCGATTGTTCCTATCGTTGCAGTCTCCTGAAATGCACCCTTTGTGCCGTTTGTCCTTACCTAATAAAGAATGATAGCTAAAATAAACACCGTGTCAACTATTTATTGTGTAATGTACGTAACATATACCCTATTTATAATCATGGGATTTTAAAAACCAAGCATATAGCTTATGGAAAATAACCAACCTCAAAAGTAATTATAAGAATAACTTTCTTATTTCTTAATAAGTGAGAAAAGTGAACGACCTTAAATACATTTTACTTTTCAGCCTACTTTTATCAAACAAATCAATCTCGGAAGGGACATTCTTATATAGAAAACACTTTTCCTGGCAAATAAGTGTAACGGGCCCTCCTTTTAGGATTGTCTCTCGTGCGCAGCTTCCTTTTGCCATGCACTTACTGAAATAAAATATATAGTTTGCTGCTTCTTTTAGTTGTATATCATGTTCGTCTCCGCAGGCGACCCCATCTGTAAACATAATGAAACCATATCAATTTCGCGCTTTAACAACCGCCAAATTATTTTACAAAAACGTTTGCTTTTTGTTATTTCCCATTTTATATTGTAAATGATATCGTCAGCCAATGCACCAGTACCTCCAAAATACGTATTACCTTTAAAGGTATTTAAAACCCTTCAATGTAAACCGGACACCTAAAAATGCGTTCCGGTTAATTTCCGAAGTATTTCAGATTTGATGCAACAAGTTCGATGAATAAATCGAATCGCTTCCCTTATTGATTTAAAGCGTAAAACTCTGCTTTTATAACATGATATAAACACAAATGCATTCTAGTGTCAATTTGGATTCTATTGTGCAATAGCATATGCTTTTTCAACATAACCTTCCGTCGGCAGGTGTGAATAAACGCAAACACCATCCGTTTTGTCTTCAGAACGCGTACGCATTATCTGCGACACAATCAAATATTGATTTTCACTAACATTGCATGTGATAATATCGCCGACGATATTAAGTTCGCGTGAATATTTAAGCCATTGTCGGCTTTTTCTATTCTTTGTTTCGAAAATGATTCATTTTATACCTCAAATTAAACCTCTCAGTCCAGGGACCAAATGATAGAAAATGATAAAGACATGTTTATACTCCGATCGATTTACCTCTCTAAAGGCGGTTGCAGTTTTCTATTTTATAAAGTCACAGTACTCTATGCACCTACTGAACCTTTTTCAAAAAAGATTCTTTCTAGGTGTGTTAATAGCAGATCAGATATTATTTTTATGTACCATTTCATTTACATTAAAACCACTTAACCCTCCTGGTCCGTAAAGCTGTTTTCCGTAAAAATTGCCGTTATTTTTTATCAGAATATTATTCAGCACATATAATGTATAATTTTATTAAGCAGTGATTTCCTTGGGAAACGCTTTACGTCTATACCACGCATTATTGATTTTCGAAGGTGTTTGGTGGTATCGGATACCATATGACCTGCAATTATTAATGGCGTAGAGAAAAGGAGTAACACGAAGGTTCAGACGTTTTCTGTAAACCACTGCAAACGTGACCCCCACTACGTTAATGACTGGGCTTAATTCATTATTTCAGAGTATTTAGATGTCAGTCTCATTCCTCAGAGATATTTGTAGAGGACAGTTTCTTGGCACTTGTTGTTGCATTTTAATGTTCTAATGAGAAACCAATATATCCTGCGGACCTTAATTTTCTTATTTATTGTCATTATGGTCAAATGCTGATGGATTCTGCTAGATAGCTGCAGCTCGTGGTCTTCTATGTACACAACAACTGTTGAGTTATATACATTTCCAGTGTAACACATCTAAAATAGAGGAGGGACTGCGCTTAAAGGTTGGATTTAATATCGTTTCTAAATGCCGATCACTCTAGCCGCTAATTGTACGTCCTGTTATTATTAAGCTCAGCTTACATTCAATTTATCTTTCATTTTAGAGTAACCTGCCCCTTTAAGGAACTGTGTGCCCGATCTATAAAATCAACACTAACTACTGTCCATCAGATATGTTGTGGAAAGCAGAGTAAAACTCCTCGATTCTGGTGGTAGAACGATTTAATATATGTCAGCTTATCTATCCTATGCACCTACTGTACCTTTTTCAAACGACTCTTTCGGGTTGTGTAACAAGCCGATCAGAAATTACTTTTATGTACAATTTCAATAACATGAAAAACCACTTAAACCTCCTGGTCCGTAAAGCTGTTGTCCGTAAACATTGCCCTGATTTTTCTCAGAATATTATTCAGCACATATACTGTATAGTATTATTAAACATTGATTTCATTGGTAAATGCTTTACGTCTATACCGCGCATTATTGACTTTCGACTGCCTTTGTTGGTATCCGATATCACATGGCCCGATATATCAATAGCGTGGAGAGGAGCTACAAAATGTCCCAAAGTTTCGTGTACACGACTCGCAACGCGACCCCCACTACGTTAATGACTGGGCTATATACATTATTTCAGAATATTTAGATGTCAGTCTCATTCCTCAGAGATGCTTGTAGAGGACAGTTTCTCGGCACTTGTTGTTGCATTTTAATGTTCTAATGAGAAAACAATGTATCCTGCGGACCATAATTTTCTTATTTATTGTCACTATGGTCAAAACTGCTGATAGATTTTGCTAGTTAGCTGCAGCTCGTTGTCGTCCATGTCCACCTCAAATGCTGATTTGTATAAATTGCTAATTATACGCATTTTAACTTGAGGAGGGACTTCGTCGGGCTGAGCACAGAGCCTTGAGGAACACTGCAAGTCTGCTAACGGGGCTTGGATATAGTCTGCCAACTATCAGACCAGGCTAGTCGGGAGATTCATGGAGACCAAGTCCTGCAGGAGCTGCTCGTAATGGAGGCAGTCAAAGGCTCGTGACGGGTCAATTGAGACTGTCACGGTCCGCGAAGCAGGCTTCTTTTGATTAAAGCCCTCAAGTATGGTTTCGCTGAGA